GGCGCAACCAGATATATTTATGCCATCAACCAATCTGCAACACCGCCAAGCGCCGGAATTGCTTCCAATACCAATGCTGTGAATGTAGGGCAGCTTACGGGTGCTACACGTTATTACTTTCATGTGCGCGCTAATTGCGGCGGCTCCGTATCTACCTGGATAAGCGATACGTTTAGAACACCTCCCTGTTATGTAGCACCAACTTGTGTGGCCCCCTCCTCTGTCACCATCAGTAACATCACCGCACATTCTGCAAACTTGTTATGGAGTACCGTTACCGGTGCCATTGGTTATGAGTACGTGCTTAACCAGATGGCTACTTCACCCGCTTCCAATGGTACGTTGATGACCAGCAACTCCGGCAATTTTACGGGGCTCGCCTCCAACACTGCTTACTACCTTCATGTACGCGCTAAATGTGATGCTACGACCTTCTCTCCCTGGAAAAACAGCGATCAGTTCCGGACGCTTCAAAATACAAGTGTGGGTTCAAACGGGATGAATCCGGTAACCATCTCCATATATCCCAATCCTGCCAGCGATGCGATTACAGTTGCACTCGACCGTCAGCCGGGCAATGCCTCCAGGCTCAGCGTATTCAGTATAGATGGCCGATTGGTGAAGGACCTGGTACCCGCGTTAAAGACCGAGATAGATGTGCGGCAAATGCAGCCTGGTATCTATATGGTGCGGTACACCGATAACGAGCAAATCAGGATTACACGTTTCACGAAACAATAGGGCTGTATCACTCAATGAAAAAACCTTCTTTCCGGCAGATACATCTGTATCGTTGGAAAGAAGGTTTTTATTTATTAAAAGAGATGCTGTCTTAAAATTTCATCAGCTTGGTAATAGCAGCGTCCAGCCGCCCTTTGGCCATAAAGTTTTGTTCCAGTTCAATGGCAAAAGGAACGGGTGTATCCAGGCTGCCGCAACGCACAATCGGTGCATCCAGGTCTTCAAAACAATGTTCGGAGATCCAGGCGGCAATCTCTCCGCCGATGCCACCGATCAGGGTATCTTCATGCAGCAGCAATACCTTGCCGGTACGCTTTACGGCCTCCTTAATGGCATCATAGTCCAAAGGCAATAAGGATCTCAGGTCAAGAATATGCAGGGAAATACCGGGATGCTTTTCGGCATATTCTGTAGCCCAGTGTACCCCGGCACCATAGGTGATCACCGAGATGTCATCGCCGTCCTGGACCAGGCGGGCCTTCCCGAT